CAGGGCAGAGTCTGTCTCGCTCTTTTAAAATGGTGTGGAGATGAGGGCTACACGGCGGCACAGCTACTTTCTTAGTGGAATAAGCGGGGTCCGAATCCAAAGGCTTCCAGGTGTTTATACAGCCAGAGCAGGCCTTAACAAGCACCATCTATGAGAAATTCTTTCGCGTTCATCCTCTCCTGCAGATATGGAAAATAATCCCAGGCAGCAATGTTATGCTTCCATGGTTACAGAGAATATTATGCTTTCCTAGGACCAAACATAATTTTGATCCTTGCCAACCATGCCTCTGAACATGCACTGCTGAAATCAGGCCGGCCAAGCAGAACCAAAGTAATTTACTTGGACCAAATCCGTCTTACAGGAAAAGCTAACCAAAGAGGCAAACCCGTGTGTTAGTGACACCTCTCCAGGCCCGATCCTTACGGAACTGTGCAGGAAGCTACCTTACAGGGATACAAAGTAATGAAGCTATTGACAATGCTGGGCTGCAAGGCCTTTTTGCTTCCAGATTTCTATTTCCACGGGGCTGACTGTCCTGGGCCAAGACTTCCTTGCTGGTAGAATTGGGTAACATATCACTTGAACTTCATAAGGTCACTTGCATGACTCAGCGAGCCAATCTGAATGGAGTCCTTTGGGCCGGAGTGTGATACGTAACAACATTCAATAAAAGCGATTATTATTGTTGGGTACTGTAGAGCATTTTCAGCGACTTACAAGTTTTTGCCAGATGGCTCTCTCTGAGTTAGTCTGATTCCTAGAAGGCTGCAGCATACAGTGACACTATCTAAAAATCTCAACAGGCGTGCCTTTGCCATTACTCAACAGCACACAGGGGGAGATTAAGCCTTGATTTTCTTCATCAAGGAGCACAGTCTACTTTTAACTAAGGGTAAAAGTTAAGAAAGAAAAATCTCCCCTGATTATTTTGCTTGTTTGCTCTGTGTGTGTGTGTGTGTGTCTTTCGAGATGGGGTCTTCTTCTAGCGCCCAGGCTGCCACACACACGTGCACAATGCTTTTACACGTCCCCTCCCCTCGTTTCCCTGGTCTCCTTGTGGCGCTGAGTAGTGCCTTCTCTCCAGATGAATGCTGAGCGTGGGGAGAAAAATGGAAGCAGCAGGTGCAGGCTGTTTTCAAAACATTTGGTTTGGATGGCAACAGATGATGCAGCAATCAGGGGGAATAACTGTGCTTAGAAAGGCAGGCCAGCCTTTACGTCTAGCTTTGGGGAGACACAAAATGCCTCTGCAGCCAAGGGCTAGGGATGTCACTAAGTGGTAGAGTGATTGTCTAGCACCTGGGAGGGCCTGGTTTGAATCTCTGGTGCTGAAACAAACCCACAAAGAAAACAAAGATGCAGAGGCCATACTTATAGCCCTCACCTTAAAACAAAATATGGGGAAATAGCTAGAAAAGAAAAAATACATAAATGATATTCTGAATTCTAAAGGGAGGGAAGGGAGACATTTTTAGCTTAGGCGAGATGGAGGAAGGCCTCATTTACAAGATGAAACACAGTAGAAACGGTATGGATGTAGGGATGGTGTTCAGGGGGGTTGGCAGGGAGAAAGATGGGACACCTCTGCCATGACATGCACACACACACTCTCAGCCTAATGACACATTCTCAGAATGGGCCGTGCCATGAAAATACACACGACTATGGATGGAAAAGCGGGGTGATCTCCTGGCCTGGGGAACGAGTCAGAGCTATGGGTAAATTTCTACTTGGGAACAACAGCAAAGAACTGGAAGTCTGTGTACAAACTCAGTTGGCCTCGTAGCTAGGATGTTTCTTGGAGCTTTTGAGGATATCCTGAAGCATCGCTGATTCAAGGGCCACTAAAGCAGACCAAGGTTGGGGGTACCTGCTACCACATGCAATGGAAATAGCAATTAGAAGTTCATCTTACAGCCTGTCGGCTGCTAACTAAATAACTCCCCGGTATGGGAAAGGAGGCACACACTGTCCATGACCTTGGAACACAGCAAATGCCAGGCTAGAACTGGAAGGGAATCATACTGCAGAGTTAGTTTTCTCTGAAGAAATTCACCTTCTTTCCTAGTCCCAGATACTGTGAGAGATCTTGCCAAGACTTCCTGTGGCCTAGATCATGTTCAATCAGCCTGGTTTCGTTATTTGAAATAGCTTTTTAAAAAAAGATAACCATTTCCTCGGTTATTTCCATTTTTCTACTACATCTTTCTTTAACGTGAAAACAAAAAGCCCCTCCCCCGTTTTTAGTGCTAAGAGCTGAGCTTATAGCCTCCATGAGGCCAGCTAAGTACTCCACCACCCAGTTATATTTTCAGCCCTTTTGGTGTTTTTGTTTAAGCTTCATGGATACTTTCTTCAGGCCTCAACAGAAATGAAAGTCTTAAAATAAACATACAAGTATGGTGAAAACTAATTTGTAATTCCGATAAATAATGAGAAAAGAGGAAGAAGAGATTCTCTGTAGATGTTCTCTCCAAGGAGAGACATTAGCTGCTTCAGCCCTACATAAAGGGCAGCAGAGATAACTGAAGCCTGTCTTCTCTCAACATCTTAATATTATAGTCCAGAGAATTACTCCCATCTTGAGTAACCATGGTAACACGCAGAGCCAGATGCTAGCAAGGCTTGGGAAAACGTGAAAGGGGGTACTTCAGAAGGGCAATGTGGTTCAGTCTACTCCCAAGAAGCAGGGATAACAAGATGCCTAGCCAGAAACTAGAAAGTCAAGAGTCTCCCTGAAGTCCACCAAGAGCATCTGGAAGAAAAGAACCTTGGACTAGAGCTCATCTAATTCCCTGATTTTAACAAAACAAATGAGGCCCGGAGACTGACCAGCTTGATCAGGGGCATCTAGTGTTTGGTAGGAAAAGAAATCACTTAGTGATCCTCTCTCAGCATACTGCCCACCATCTCCCACTGGTTTGCAGTCCAGGAAGCCCCTAGACACAGAAGACATCTCAGCATCCATTTTCTGCCAGTCAGGGCTCTATCATTTCCCCACTTGTTTTCACTGTGGATATTTCCAAATACCAACCAGTAGAAACAAAAATTAATAAACTCTGGAACATACTGTCTACAAATGTCAACTCCTGACAATCCCTCCCCCGCCCCCCCGCCATGCTTTTACAACTTCCCTTCTTCAAGACAATTCTGGAATAATTCTCAGGCATCATTATTGTTTATTAGACAGCAAACACTTAAATTTTCTACCTGAGCATGAAGCAGAGACAATTGTCTCTAGGGATCCTGGGTTTCCCTGTTGCACACACTTGTGGGTGTCTAATATTTTCTTTTCTGTTTCACAGCTCAAAGACATAAAGGTAGTTTTACATAGACCAATAAGATCTGCCCTATGATCCTGCACACGTGGGGAATTTAAAGGAATTGTTTTAGATAGTAAGCATACAGAAAGTGAACTTTATATCAAGAGATAAATGCCTCTTGGCCTTAAACAAAATTCTATGGACACCAGCATTTGCTTAAATTAAGCTTAGAATCAAAACCAATTTCCCCCAAAAATCCATGTGCAAGGTACCAAGTGTTTTCATTTATTTAAAAAATCGCATGAAGGGGGAATGTCATACAATATGTTCACACAGGAAGTTTATTGGAAGAGGAGAGAGAAGGGGCAGAGAAGGGGGCAGAGACTGGTCCCTGGGAACAAGAGTGGCAGGAGAGAAAGAGAGGGAGAGAGAGAAGAAAGAGAGAATAGGAGAGAGAGGAGAGAGGAGGGAAGAGAAAGAGAGAGGGAGAGGAGTAAGAGGAAGAGAGAGAGGGGGAGAGACTGAAGGCAGGCAAGTCACTTTTTAAAGGGGAATGTGGCAAATGTGCGCAGGAGGTAATGCTCTCAGTGGCTGCAGCTGAGGATGTATCCTGTCAGGACCCAAGGGCAGTCCCGTACAGATCTGAATGCTAACACCAAGCAATGACATTCTTTTGATTTATTTATTTTTTCTCATAGAGGGTCTGTTTTTCATCCATTCTTTTCCTTTGGTATAGGGTCTTGTTATACAACCCAGACTCAGAGTTTTCCCACCTCACCCTCTGATGGGTTTGTACACACCCACCCCAATGGAATTCTAGATGTCCAATAAATCCCTAAAGTAAATGACAAAATAATTTCCCATCATCTTTTCTAAGGCAGAGACTATTGGTTTGTTCTAATGTGATGGGAATTTAAAATTAAACATATTAAAAATAATATAATGGAAATTTAAAGTTAAACAACTACATTAGCCCTTCCTTTCATCCAGCCACTTAAATCCTGTTTCTGAGAAAACCACAATGAAGAAGATATTTTTTAAAAAAGAATTTCTGAGCCAGGTGTGGCGCTACACATCTATAATCTTAACACTTAAGAGGTGAAGTCAGGAGGATTGGGAGTTCAAGGACAGCCTGAACAAGAGCCTGCTCAAAGAAAAATAAAAGTTTTGTTGTTGTTGTTGTTGTTGTTTTTTGTTTTGTTTTTCAAGACAGGATTTTCTAGTAGCGATGGAGCCAGTCCTGACTTGCTCTGTAGACCAGACTGGCCTTGAACTCACAGAGATCTGCCCGCCTCTGCCTCCTGAATGCTGGGATTAAAGGTATATACTTCCCAGAGAAATGTAAAGTTTTAATCAACAAATATTTCTCTATTAGTAGCAGTAGATAGCATATGACTTTGTATGTATAAAAACCAAAACCAAAACCGGGTGCTTGATGCCATGACACTGACCGATGCCATCTCCACCGCCAACCCTTACTCTCCCTCTGTTCTGTCACGTGTAGTATTTATGAGCTTACAAAATGCATTCTAATGTACAATTCCATTAGAAAGCCAAAGTCAGAGCAAATCTGGGACAGCCAGAACTGTTGAAATTTTTTTTCAAGTGAAATAATTTCATCTCAAATATAAATTCCTATTCTTTCAGAAAAAAAACAACCCAATAAAACATCACGGTTAACTGGCTGAAAATGTTAACTGCTTATCCATCTTGCAACTGGGGTAGCAATCGTACCTGCTGAGGTTTCTCTAAATTTGTCACTGGTCTTCTTTTTCCTCCATTTCCAAGGCTTGAAGATTTTCCCAATGGTCGAGAGTTTCCCCTTTCTCTTGAAGGGAGGCGTCTGGGAACCTCCTGGGGGGCCATCCGAGTTTGCTATGGAGGCCTTGTCTAGTCCATCAACTGTACAAAGAAAAATCAAGTTAGAGAAAAGCTTCAGTGAATGCTTGAAACAACACTATTTGTCTTTTCTTGGACTATTAACAGCAACCTTGCCTGTTCTCTTTGGATTTGCACATAAAGTCTGTTTTGTCCCATTCTGCAGCTGGTAGGATTCCCTTGATATCAATCAGGGACTCAATCAATCATAAATTACAGTTCCCGTAGGTAATCATTTTGGGGAAACAGAAAAGGAGTGCAAGACTTACACAACAGCTAGAGCCAGACAAATAAAACCCCGTGAACCACAGCAGAGCCCATCTGCAGCAACACATCAATATTTTGTGCAGGAATCCAGGACTCTCAGTATCCCCGAAGTAGGATGCTCCTCCAAGGCTATTTTGGCACTCTCAACAAGGAATTCACAGTTATGGTGCTGTGAGAACCATGGTTTCTCCTTCACAAAAGGAAGCTCGGTGCCAAGAATCTAAACTCGACTTTTATAATGCTAACACTATCATGGGCTTATGCCACAACAAGGTTTTCAGCCTCGAATAAGCTGACAGTTATTGCTACCGAGAAGAAATATGTGGGAAAGATGAGGATGGCATGCAACAGCATATTACCCACATAGGCTTTTAGGATTTTCTCACTCAGGAGGATTTTCTCATTCAGGAGAAAAGCACATTCTAAAGTTGCCTTACACTCTATGTTCTAAACAGGAGTTAATGATGACTTACATCACCCCAATGACAAATCCTAGAAGCAGCCCAATGACAAACTATGGTATTACTAAATTTACTAAAACAGCACTCATTTGCTTTATAAAATAGGTTTTTGGACAAATACATAATTGTTAAATGCAACAAAATGTTAAGTGTTGAATCTAGGTGGCAGATACATGCAGGTTCAAGTCTTTCCTCTTCTCGGAAGTTTTGAAAATTTTCATAATAAATATGAAGGGGGAAAGCAAATACAAAGAGAAGATGTATGGCGAAGACTTCCCCTCAGCAGGAGATAGGGTAGACCTACTCTTCTTCCATTACTCCTGCTAAAACCATTGCATAAATCCATTCATACAAACAACATGAGTGGATTGCGAAAATACCAAGATGAAAAGGCCACACAGAAGAGAGAATGCACTGTATAGTTCTAGTTTTATAAATTCAACAATAGGCAAAATAAAAAAAGAAGAAAGGAAATGGGTAGGGATAAACTGAGTGGCTGGAGAGCTAGGGGAGACAGAATTTACCCCAACATCACTTGCATTCTTACATATCTTTACTCTTGTGCTTTTCCCTTTATGTAAAATTAATCTTAGAAAATGCATAGAGTGAAGTCTAATTGATATATGTGCTGAAGTGATTATAGGTGAATTGTGCTGATATCCGCGAAGAATAAATGAACAGATGGATGGGACGAGTAGTTGGATAAACACCCAACATAGCAAAATGCGCAGTTGTTGAAACTCCGGGGTAAATACACAAGGGATGAGGAAATGCTTTTATCCCACATATGTTTTTGAAAAGTTTCTAATAAAAATATCTGGGAGAGGGACAACGAATAACAAAAATCAAACAGCAGGCACTGCTACTTCAGGGAAGATATTTTTACTCCTATTCCTCTTGTTAAGTACAGCTTGGAAAACAGCAACAGCCCTGCATGCTACAGATTTGTGAAAACAGATGACCATGAAATAGAGAGAAAGCAGACCACCCCAAGATCTCAGATTCCAATAAACCAATAAACAACATGATGTAAGGACCCATTGGTTCTATTTTTTCCACATCTCTCACTCTTATAGCTATAAAAAAAAAAAAAAAAAAGAAAAGAAAAGAAAACAGAAAGACTAGTGGGCATAGGCCAAAAGAGCCTCAAACAAAAGCTCCTCTTTCCAGCCATCAGACGGAAAAAAGACAACCTGAAGAGACAGAAGAGTTTAGACCACAACTATTCTGCTCTGGCCAAGCACTACAGAGGAAACTGTGATCATACCTGCCAGCAAAAGCTGAATGCAGGAACGAGACTTTCACTCTCATGAGCCTTCAGAGAGGATCCTGATGCCGCTGCCAGAGTCATGCTAACAGAAGACAAAGCAGGAACACCTTCTGCCTATGTGGGGGTAACAAGCATCCCCCATAGTGTCAGGGGGGACTATGTGTGAAGCCTAGACGTTTACCCCATCCAGCAACTGGGTCTTTATCAACCCCCCATCCTCTGGGAATTTTAGCTCTGCCCAATTTTAATGAGGACCTTCATACGTAGGGTGTCAACAAGAACGTAAGTAGAGAACCTGGATTTTCACCTCTGGGCAAGAGTAGCAAGCTGGCAGTGTTAGGTGAAGTCAGTGGAAGTCGAAGGTTTAAATTAGACGTGGAGTCTCATGACATAATACATAAAAAGTTCCAGTTTGGGTTTTTTTTTTCTTTTTAAATCCCCTGACATATCAAGAGCCAAGAAAATTTCACACTGAGTGAAAAACATCAACCAATAGTTACCAACATTTATGTACCGAGTGAATTCCTTCCAAATGCATATGGTAGGTAATTTCAACTCTTCTTCCATGTGCTCACAGGTGCCAGCTAGGCAGGGCACAGGCTGTATGCTTGTGCAAGTGGCCCTCATCCCACTTTCAGCCCCAACACAACAGAAAGGGCCATGGGAACGGCAGTCTGGACACTGAGTTAAAGGGAAAGCCCAGGAGAGAAATGAAAACCTCACTTCTACTCCCATTCACCTGCTTACTGTGAACTATAGGGCAAACCCAAGGAGGAAGCAAGGGTGTGGTTTCTCTTCTTCATGAGACTTTACAATGAGATCCCCCCGGAAAGGTTAATTCTTGAATAGCTGAATATGGTAAACTATAAAAGGACTGCAAACAGAGGAAGCGACGTTTACATCTGAAATTCGTCTCTATGACTACAGGTCAACATCTAGTTCTTACTTTGTTGCACTGGAAATGGAACGTCATCACCCAGACCACACACCTGGTTCTTTGACACACCGCGAAAATTGTGATTTCTACATGAGCCAGTGACGCTTTAAGCTGTTTGTGCTTGTAAATAAAAATAAACAAAGTTTTAAAAAATGCAGCAATTTCCTTAATAACACAGTGGTCACTGGGCGAGGGAGACAGTTGATGAGTGAAAAATGACTCAGAGTTAAATTAGTAACCGCACACAGAATGGTGTGGTCTTTTTTTTATTGTGCCGTCAGTACTATCCTATCTAAAGTACCAAAGGCGGATTCAGTGCCTGCAGAATCGGGGTATGTGTGCATATGTGTGCTTCTGCATTGGCCTGGTTGAATGAATCTCCTTGTGGCTTTAGAACTGGTAGACTCTTACTAAAAACCACCCTTGCTGTTAGAGACTGTCTGATGGCACAGTTGGCCAAGTGCCACTGTAATTCTCTCAAACCATGATGCAGGGAGTACTATCACTGGCTTTGGAGAGGTATAGGCAGAATTAACTTCTTCAGATACCTGGAAATTAGTAGACCACTGATATTTCTTTGATTTTTTTTCTTTTGAGCAAACTTACCACCAAAAACCCCTTGACATTTTCTGTAAATCCTTCTATCTAAGCCCAACAGAAAAGAAAAAAAGGTTTCTTTTTTTGTTTTCAATGTTAATTTTTCATCTACTTTCCTGTTGTTTTCCTTTCTTTCTCTCTTGTTATGAAATGTATGTTCCTATGTAGGTCAGCCTTGCCTCCCAAGTGCTGGGATTATGGGGCCACACTCTCATATGCAACAGTGATCCACTTTCTTTCTCATCATTACCTTTGGGTTCATACTAGACACCTACATTTTTAAGTACGGCGCATTCTGAAATGCAGTCCTGGGCTTCCTGAATATGGAAATTTTACACAGTATAGCTCTATGTATTTTCCTAGTGAAATAAGCTTCTTCATGTTGCCAACTGGTAAGACTTCAAGGCGTACATGCAGATTTTATTTTAATTTAAACAGGAACCCAAGTAATCTCAGTACAAAGTAACCATAAGGGTCAAAAAAATAAATGAAGTTAGATTACTAGTACATTAAAATTATGAACTTTGGTGCTCTTTCCTCTGAGAGCTAAGAACAGACAAGGCTTCTTAGAAAAGGTCAACTCGTTAATAGGAGAGTTTATAGGTTTTGAAAAACAACATTTCATGTTTTATGATATGTAAGACACCTATTTTCCTGCACGTACAATCACTTCAGTCACTGGGAAAGGAGGCACAGTATTCCATTCATAAATCTAGTGGCCGAAAGGTCACTTAGAAGAGAGCCCCATGAAAGACCTCCTGGTGTTGAACAAGTTGGCAGCCACCCTGTGAAAAACTAGTTTAGAACGACGGTCTCAACTTTCTTTAAATACCTTTAAATACTTGCAGGTGAAATTGAATGCATTTCCAAAGTCCAATAATAACAAAACCAGACAGAGATCATGTGTGGTAAACACATTGTGCAAAACCCTTGCTTTGAGGAAGCTAAAAAGCAAAACAATACAAGCAAACCAACTTTTATTTCCTTAAAATACGGTTTCTGAGCCATCTTTCCCTTTGTATACACATGTATGATTGTTCAATCATTATGATTATATCAAAGTTATTATTGTAGATTTCTACCATTTTTTTTGTTTTCATTACAGTTCTACCACTAACCTTTAAGGCCATAGAACATTCAGTAAGGAAATATGAGCATAGTGCGTTAGGAAGATTCAACTCAAGCCCCTCCATTCAACTGAAGCCACGGCTTTGTGTATGTCCTCTTATGCATGAGGGCAGACATTTAGAACAAAGTAGACAAAAAGGTCACAGACAAGCAGCATTACAAGCCATCGCTTGTTGTAGGAAGAGGTAGTTTGTTTGCTCCAGGCAGCTCAGCCCCGAAATAACCACACAGAAACTGTATTAATTACAGGGCTTGGCCAACTACTTAAGCATATTGCTAGCTAGCGCTTACATCTAGAATTAACCCATCTCCATTATTTTATATTTTACCAAGAGGCTCATGACCTACCAGCAAGGTTTCAGCA